ACCTATGACCTTTACCGGCGATCGAACCCAAGATCCTCAGGTTACATGGTAAACCCGCTGGCCATTCAGCAGTGATCCATGAATCCCAACTTCAATCAAATCCCTGCAGACCAGCACTTGAAGGTACAGATCCTCAGCTACCCCTTCATAAGTATTTTTTCTATATAACTGATCACATTTTTAAATATGTAAAATAATATTTGACACTTGAAACAAAGTGAGACATTAAAAATGACAACTACTGCACTACTATACTGTTAATTTAAGAAATAAGTAGTCATCAACATTCCCCCCAAAATAATAAACACGATTTTGTTGTACCGATGTTTAAGTTGTTATCAAGAGTTAGTTAGCAGAGATTTGATTGCCTTCAGTTCTAATTACGGATTGATATTAGTTGGAGAATTTGTGTTTCGTCCTGTCTGGTGACTCTTGCATCTTACCTATTATTCTTTACTGTTCACCTTTAGTCTTTCCTGGGCTAATCAAAAATGACTATGTTATATTTCGAAAGGGTATTAAAGGTTGTTAGTAAGGTGGTAAGTCGTGTGCTACTATCATAGTCGACATATACCTAAACTCATGTGAGAACTGGTCTGAACCTATATTGTGTGACTCTCAACTCCCTCCCTATTCACAACTCTCCTCTTGCGTCTCATCTGGTAGGACTAGAAGTCATTATAAAATATGATCTGCTCACACAACCAATTACAAAAGCCCAACGATATCCTATTTGGGATAATTTTTTTCCTTTTGAATTTTCTCATTTGCAACTTATACTCAGTCCTTACTCAGTCAATCTCTGCCATGCTCATTTTGAGTGATTTTTTTCGATATTATATCATACTGATTCAATTTTAACCTCTCCTAGTTAACTAGCTTGCTAGTTTTCTAGCGGGTCTCAAGCCTGGGAAAGAGGAGGTTTGGTGTGGGGGCTAAAAACCCCACATCACTAAACCTATCAAATTGCCAGAGAAACTTCAACGCACAGAAAATATATTGAAAATACAAGAACTTCAAATAACAAGAATCTTATTCTTCGCTATGATTGGAGAGGCGCAATGACACAGCTGGCTGGGGAAACCCCGACTCCGGGAAGGCAGCCAGCCGATATACGTTCACTCGATGAAAGCAAGAATGAGAATGAGGACGTGGAATGGCCGTACAATGTACTAGACTGGGAGGGCTGACTAGGTAGCCAAAGAGATGCGAAGATATGGCCTAGAAGTTCTAGGTATCTGCAAGAACAGATGGAATGGATCCGGATTGTCAAAATTGTCATCTGGAAAGTCAGTAATCTACTCCAGTCTGATCACCCAGACGACAACCACGAGCACACCGAAGAAAAACAAACAAAACAATGGGTTGATCACTTTAAAGGACTCTTGAATCGGCCATCACCTGTAACTCACCCAGAAATACCAACAACAACACGCACACAACTATCTACCAGTGGACACCAATCCTCCGATGAAAGCAGAAATACTAAATGCAATCAAGCTACTGAAGTCCGGGAAGGCAGCTTGACCAGACGCAATTAACCTCGAAGAACTGAAAACGGACCAAGAAACTGCGGCAGATGTGCTCACGCCATTATTGCAAAAGGTTTGGAAGAAGGAAAGGTACTACCGATTGGAAGAAAGGCTGGCTACCTCGTCAAGCTGCCAAAGAAGGGTAACTTACGCCTCACTCTACAAGAACTTGCATGGAATCATGCTTTTGTCCACATCAAGTAAAATACTAAGTCGCACCATCATGGGGATAATAGAGGATGCACTGGATACGGAACTCCGCCCCACCAACACAAACAAGCTGGATTCAGGAAATGCAAATCATGCGCTGATCGAATTGCATCTCTACGCATCGTCATCATAGGACAAAGCATAGAATGGCAGTCAAACCACTCTCTACATCAACTTCATAGACTCCAAAAAGGCCTCCATCAGACAGCGTTGACCGAGAAGTAATTCGGGAACTACTTCAATACTACGGCGTGCAGTGGCCAAGTCTTTATCAACCTCATTCAGCAGCTAGCTATATGACAGTGCCATGTGCCAGGTGATCCACAACTGAGAACTCAGTGAGGCGTTCGAAGTGCACACAGGAGTTAGACAAGCTGGCTGGCTGCCTTTTATCACCGATGATGTTCTTCATTGTGGTGGACTGGATTGTGCGTCAGACTGCGAGTTGGGAGTGAGAAGACAGGAATACGCTGGACCACCAGTGAGAAGACTCGAGAAGATCTGGATTTCGCGTATGGATGATATATGTCTAATGTCACACAGACTCGAAGACTCAGAGGCAGGCGAAAACTGGCAACAAACTGGCTGAATAAGAGGCTGGCAGGCAAGCGGCGAAGACAGGACTCCAGGTGAACATAGACAACACACAGGTGATGAAGATAACCAACCAACGAACAGCAACAACAACCAGCACCGATCACCATCGATGGGAGAGATCTACCAAAGATTACTTCCTCGACTTATCTAGAAAGCATCGTCTCAACTACAGGCAGTCGGAACGGATGAAGATGTCAAAGCCAATAAGTCAGAATCGGAAAGGCAAACAAGATACGCCTTCATTAGCCTGAAACCAGTTCGGAAATCTTCCGCACTCAGCATAAGGAACAAGATTCGCATTTTCAACACTAATGGGAAGTCGGTTCTTCTATACGGGTCAGAAACTTGCACTGTGTGCAGCGAAAAGCATTTCCAACAGGTTGCAGACTTTCATTGGCTAGAAAGAATAAGTAACACAAAACTGTGGGAACAAACCAACCAAGAGCCGAATGCACAACAAATTTGTAGGATAAAACGATAAAAATTAACCTGCAAAGTTAAATAACCTAAAAAACAACTTGGCCATTATAATCCACTCACTTTCATGTAATCACACAATACAGTGGGACGAGATTAAGTACTAAAAGCAATATACTTATATGGAGAGAGGTAAACCACAGAATCTTTGTTCATTGAATCATTACTGAACACATGCAGTCAAAATGACGCAACGCCTGTAGTGTATGTATGGAAAATAGCAATAAATAGCAGGTGGGGATTGAATTGGTGAATGGTGGATATCAGTGGAATCCAGGATGTACAATTCGTCCCATTTGAGACTCGTCAATTGGATCTACCTGCATTCCCCAGTAACTGATGATGTTCCCACCGAGGCTGGAACCCAGTGCCAATAGTTTCAAATGTCAACGCGTTATTCACCCACTAGACCACTTGGGCCCCGAGAGCCACCTCTTGTGCGACCGGTCATATAAGATGTTCAGACGTCGTCGAAGCATCTGCACAAGAAGCCGACATGTCAACCTGAGACCAAGCACTTTGGTCCAATCAATCGACAAGAAGGTTTAAAATTGAATCAAAACAGGTGGGGAGAAGAAAACAAAGTTAATAACGAAGCAGCCGTCTGACTAAACTGATATGATTATGAGCAATAAACTGTGCTCAAAATGTCATCCAGTCATCAGTACTGTATATCAGATTAACTTATCTAATAATGAATCATCTTTTTTTCACAATGCCCAAATTTTCTGCTCTCGATGTTGGTTGAGGAAAGGTAGCAAGCAGTAGGCCTATACGAAGTGCAATGAATGAAAGCCTTGTTGACATTGGCCATTCTATATCTCAACAAATTCCTTCTTCAAAGTGATCTAGAGCATGAAAAAAAAACACGCAACCTTTTTCGAAGCTTTAGCCATTCAGAAAGAGAAACCGGAGCTCTGCGTACAAAACAGAATTCTTCTTCAACCACTCCTTCCACTACCATGGTAATGACCTTTATATATAACCAAAGCTTTATTCTATCCTTTCAAACTCCTATGGAATAAATCTTAGATTTTCACTCATATCTTTTTTGTCCATCCTTATTATAACTCATTCAGTTAGCTGTTTATTTTATTAGGAAAACTCACTCCAAAACCCTTATGCATTGTGATTAATGTTAACAATTCACCTCTTCTGTTCCTATCTGCTTTTGTGGAAAAAAATTGTACATAAACGCGACTGTATAACTGAATGAAGAAAATGAATTCGACAGAAAAACAGTATTATAGTAGTTCGTTATAAGTATCGTATACTGATTGCAAGCAAGTAAGCATTTTAAGTCTGTTTTATTGATAAAGCCGAATTCGAATGAGAGGGGATGCCAAAGACTCACATACACAGATGAGACTTTTGTTCTTTGATGTGATATATAGTGCTTCTAAAAGATATCTCCGTGTTCTATGTGCAGAGTAGTGATGAAGTCATCTGAGCTGGTAAGAAAGTGTTTACAATCTCAGACATTTAATTATATCGACCTTTAGTACCGGTTTAGCATATTAAGATTATGTATACACATACATTCAACAGAATCAACCTTATTCGTTTACATCACTTTTGATTCTCCTCTTTAACTGATGACTGGACTGAGAAGTGTTCGGAAGCTTCAACGATGTCTAAGTATTAACCCTGAAGTAATTTCATTATGATTTAACAAACAAGAAGATCTGAAGGAGGCTAAACAACTAATTCCTTTCCAGCCTGACCCTAGGTCAGCTAACATTGCCCGTCGAGGAAGGCATACTGCTACCACTGCTACAGAAACTTCAAAGCTCTAAGTATTGGAACGCAAAAACATAAAAGTTGGATTGATTTCAAGTCTCATCACAAATTGACTTCAGCGAAGGGAATCATTGATAGCCAATAAGAAGTACTGGATAGTTGTTTCGTCCCCGTCTAGGTCTCTTCATGGTACAGTTGTGCTTGCATAGTCCTAAAAATTAATACCTCTACTCCTTTACCTCGCTAAGCCAGAAATAAAGCTAGTAAAGGGGAAAGGTTGGGCATTAGGCTAGCAACCTCATCCTGTAAAAATAAACACTGCTAAAGAAACTTCAAGCCTCTAGCTTGAAGCCCTATGTTCCAGTGGGCACTTGAAGGAATAAAAAAATAGAAAATACAACTTATTCCAAGCGACAGTTAAAGAAGACGTAGACAATTTCGTTTTTTTTCCTTCAGTCAAAATTTTATTTTCAACATTCACTTCCTGACAGTTAACAAACAAATAAAACGAAAAAAAAAACAGAGAGATACATCGAGTGGAAAAATAGCAGTACAGAATAGAGCGTACAATGATAAAAGTGTATATTGTTTAAGGTAAAACGGGTGTCTGCAACGGAAAAAATATAATATTGGTCATGAGAAGTAATCAGCTAAACAAAGTTTTCATTACTAAGATGCGAATTGGAAATTTCAATTGTCAATAAGACTATTGTTGTTGTTGTTTTTACCAGAAATCAAGAGGGTCGAGAATTTCTAGGCAATACACGCAAAACAGTTGAACACAAAGAGTGAAGAGTTGTTCTGCTTACCACTCAACAATAATTTCTTATTTTGCACGAAGAGAGAGGAAATCAAATCTTTCAGTATTCTCATTATTCATTATTTAAGATGTTTGATATCATATACAGTGCATATAAACATATATATATATATGTTCTCTTAAATGAAGGGTTTGATGAAATTATATTTTTAATCTCTTTTTGAGTTAGAAAAATAGATGTCATTGATTAAGTAAGTACTAGTAGTAGTAGTAGTAATAGCAATAATAGTAGTATAGTGTTTTTCTATTAAAATGAATATGACACAAAAATATTGTAATAAGTGAAGGTAGGTTTACTGAGGCTGGCGCTGACTCTGTTGACGGTTGGCTGCCTGCACAGATGTTACCTTCTCGTTGTTTATTGTTTTTCTCTTCTTCTTCTTTTATTTTAATGAGAGACTGGAGTATGTGAAGAGCTGACCAATACTCGAATGTGTTTGTGGTTTTATTAACAAAATTAAAAGACTAGAAATCACGATCAACTTTCTCTTGAATAATCAACTCCCATTCTTTCCAAGCATTCAGTAATTCTTTGCTTAAACTATGAAATCTTTCATCCCAATCCACTTGACAGCCTAACTCAACAGCAATATCGTATAAAGCACGTTCAGCGAAATAGCCTAATGGTCTATTTTTCATAGCATGTTCTTGTATTTGTCTAATCATTGCAGCATATGAACGTGAACATCGATCAGCGTCTAGAGTACGAAAATCACCTTGCCCATGATGATGATGATGTGGATGATAGTGATGAGAACGACATGATTGACTTTTTAAGGATAAATCTGTCAGTGAAGTGTTTGAATTTAGCGCACTGCTACCACCACCACTACTGCTTGCAATACTCTGTTTATGATCAACCATATTCTTGCCATTTTCATCCAGTGCTGATCGGATCAGTTTACACGAAGTCAGTGTTTTCACTAAGTCAAGTAGATTTTGAACAGAATTTTTAAATACATACAATTCATTCCATATAAAATAGTCAACATCTGAAGTGTTCGGTTGGAATTCTGCCTTCCATTCACAAATATCACTCATCCAACAAACCATATAGTCCATTAATTCAGGCGACCAATTCTGTCCATTGGCCTGATCTAATTGTAATTCCAGCAGACGTATTTGGAAATCCATCAGCTGACACTTGGCTACATCTTCATCATTATTACCATGATCTGCTAATATGAGTTTATGCGCTTTCCATAATAATAAATCGCATAAATATGCCAAATGTAATTTCTTCTCTAGTAAAGATGACAACTGAACTAATCTTCTTTCTGTATTCGCATTACTATTATTATTATTATTATCATTGGTAGTACGAATGTCATCACCATTATTGATATTCACTTTTAATGATTTACACAGTGTTTTCAATCGATCTGTTGTAATTGTACTCGAGTTTAAATCCCCGTAAAGAATGCCTTGATGAACAGCTTGTAATTTATTCCATGCAATTTCACCTTGTGGTGTTTCAGATAATGCATAATTCTTTTTAATTAATTGATCACGATGTGAATATAATAATTCAGTTGTCTCTCTTAACTGTTGATGAACATTTAACCATGTTGAACGTGTTACTGACATTTTACCGATTGAATTAATTAATTCAGTTGCCCATTTATATGTAGAACTACCACGTTCAATGTATTCAGAGATAAGCCAGGATAATTGTCCAGTAAGACTAAGTAAATTAAATGGTAATGTTGGTGTTGATTTTGTACTTCCATCGAAATGCGGTAAACCACTTGATGACATCATAGATGATGATGATACTTTACGTCCTTGTTGACATAGACCACTTGGTACTGTTGCATGTGCTCTAAGCATATCATTACGATTATGCGCTAGAGGATTTAATGGAGGCGGTACATTGATTGAGGTCTTTTTACCTCCTGGAACTACTCCACTATTCAATGCTGCTGTTGATGATTTCTTATGACGTATTAAGCGTAAGTTCTGTTTCAATCGCACACCTTCTGTTTTACGTATTTGTTTGGATAAATTTAAAACATACTCAGGTGTTGGACCTTCATCATCACTGTCACTTGTTGAACAATCAGTACTTATCTGTACACTACTCATTTCCCATAGGATTTCTCTGTCATCAAGTGCTTCATCTCTATCAGTTTCATCATCTTCACCGTCTTCATTATCACCGTCATCATCGTCTTCAGGATAACTTAAAGTGAATGTCGCCAGTTTTCCTTCACCACCATTAATACCATTCTCACTTTTATGCTTTTTCTTTCTGGAACGTAATAAAAGTAGCGGATTTTTTAAAAATGTCGGCATTATATCATCAGCTTCATTGATCGACAGACCTTGTTTACGTCGCATACGTTTCAGACTATTGACTAAAAAGTTGATAGCACTTTTATCTGACGCCAGGACAGCAGTAGTAGAAAGATTGATCAGTGTAGTGACGCGTGCATTTGTTGTATCAATACGACGTAATAGACGATCAAAGTTAATAGCTGTTCTACTCAATGAACACGGTTCATAGATTGTTTGTACATAACATTCAGTTTCATGATCTTTACTACATTCATTGTCTAAACCCATTTCTTCCGGTGAATGCATTAATTTATGCACTAAATCTAATTCTGCTTGCATTTGTTCACTTTTTCTATGCAGTAATTCATCTGATTGACTTTTGTTCAATTTCCCGTTGATAGATGATTTCGACGAATCGTCAACTATGATACAGGATTTATGAAAAAAAAGATAATTCATTAATATTTTTTTCTAATTGAATAAACTATTAAATGAATAATACGCATAATAAATAATTTAGAACAACACATTTAAGCGAACAATATTGTGGTTTCAATTAGATCTCATCAGGCTTAACTCTAATAGTATGGGGATTTCATCATACGCATCAGTTAGAGAACCACTGGAAAACCTGGGAGTACTGGACAACTGTTTCGTCCTAGTTTGGGACTATTCAGCAGTACGCGCCCACCGGGATTCAAACCCAGGACCTTCTGGTTACAAGGCGAGCTCGTAGACCATTGAGCCACTGGGACCCGATCCAATGGTCCTTGAATTCTAACTTCTGCCAATTCACGACATAGCGCGACCATTTCGCAATGTTTTAGAAGTTACTGTCACATCTTCAACCTGCTGTACCCTACTGGTCACGGCTTGAAATTACCTCTAATATACATAAGTTTACACTTCCTCAGTTACGTGCCCATTAAATATAAAAGGAATGTTGTTAAATGTCTTGTGAGCAGAGCAAGAAAGATATGTACGGATGACCTCTTACAAAAGGAATTTGAATATATATGCACGATTTCTTGACGGAGATGGGCTATCCGGGTAGTTTCATAAAGAAACATATAAAAACACTAGAGAAAAAACCTGAGACTCTGACTGCACGTAAGAAACCTCTATTTATTAAGTTACAATTTAATGGTGACTTATCAAGCGAGATTTTATTCCAAAGACTTTCAAAGAGTATACGAAGAATATTTTACGCAGCACACCTATGTTTGTCATTCTCTAGCCGACGAATGATTGGGACGCAATGCACATCTATGTGCATTTATCAATTCAACTGCACCTGCGGTGACAGTTATTTCGGGCGTACTACTAGACAGCTTAGCCAACGTGTTAGTGAACACCTCCCATCGTGGTATTTTGGCAAAGGACAGACAAAAACAATCAGTAGCTCAATTTTGTCACATTTAATTGATAGTGGTCATGTAGTGGAGAAAACGAGAGCCTTCAAAGTAATTCATCGTATCCCACCGAATCTTTCCAATAGACTCCATATTCGTTTACTGCACACAGCTGAGGCGATAGGCATTCGAACTATTAAACCTAAACTATGCATTCAAAAGAAGTTCGTACAGCCATTATCCCTCACTTGGCCTATTAAGACATAACCAACTAATGACTTCTACACCACCCCTTGTTTATATTTTCAACCCCTTTCTTATCATCCCTTAATCTCATCACATCTTCATTATAAACGTGTTTCATTTACTTCCCTTAAAATCTAACATTACTTAATCGGTTCATTTGTTTTTGCTAGCCTTTATCGACTACTTCCACCTGAACAGTTGTTTGTTTAATCATGCTGTTTTTTCATTATTCGTGTTATGACAGTTTGCCTCACTTTTTCATCCTTATTATTGATAAGACCATTATTATTATTATCATTACTACTATTATGACTAATTGCACAATTTATATTCACCATCTTATTATCCTATAGACAAAACACCATGATTGATTTATATATTTGAATTTGTATTTGTAAACTTATGTATATTAGAGGTAAGCCTGATGAGATCTAATTGAAAACAACAATATTGTTCGCTTAAATGTGTTGTTCTAAATTTTACTATGGGAATATTTAATATAATAAATAATTGTGCCACGAAGACACGACGTTGTAGATTTATTCATTACATTTCAAATATATATATATGCTATGAGGACTGTTTAAAAGTCATTTGTAGTAGGCGCTCATTTCAAATAGTCGACGCTTTACTTGAAATTTAAGTGACTATAGTCAATCTGAAAAAATACACTGGTAGTAGAATACTAGTAGTCGTCGTCGTTCATCGTAAGATTTCCTGGATAGTTAAAAATCAGCATTTCTGAAACAATTTACTATCATATCTCGTAAGCGGCGATGTATTTACAAACTGTACACAATGACGGAGATTATCAGTACACTGTAGATTAAAGATATGCATATATTATCCAACAGCCGGTGGCCAATATCTGTGAATGTTGTAGCTTGGAAACGTTTATATGAATCACTGATAGGTGACATCAGTACGAAGATCTCTTTGAGCAATAACTCTGATATTCATTTTCATGGAACCCATTAGTTACTAGTTCTCATGAAAACCTAAGAAATCCTATTTTGAAGGTAATAATAATAAGCATCAGCTATGACTTCAGCTAGGAGTATTTTAATCACGGTAAGTGGGGGTGGGGGACATAACTGGACATGAAACAAGAAACCAGAATCATGGATGGAGTCGAACCAGTATCCTCCAGCATCACATTCCATTGATGCGGACACCAAATCCAGCTGCTGAGAAGGTTATGTACTCTTTACACATAGGTTTCCTACTTACTTACTTACTTACTTACTTACTCACTTACTCACTTACTTACTTACTTACTTACTTACTTACTTACTTACTTACTTACTTACTTACTTACTTACTTACTTACTTACTTACTTACTTACTTACTTACTTACTTACTTACTTACTTACTTACTTACTTACTTACTTACTTACTTACTTACTTACTTACTTACTTACTTACTTACGTAATCAGATCGGCAGCTAAAGACTTCGCAGATTGGTAGATCACCTGTAAATCTTTTCTAGCCTAATCTAATCCTTTATCAGCTAACATTGCTCTACGAAGCTGATGATGACTCAGTATGCATAACACGTGTCCTACTCATCTTATCGATTGACTTTTCTTACCTTACCTTACACTCTCCGCCTAGCCTCAGTATTACTCATCATTTAACGTGGAAGATAGAGCACAAACATCTGTGGTCAGAGACAACTAGCCTCTTCAGGTCTTCCACTTTCAAGGCCTAAGAGGGTTAATTATTAATATTTTGTAAAGTTTGAACAGAGACATTATTTGTTTTTGCCTAAAAAATTGCATTTTTACCTCTTAATGATGTGTGTACTCATAAAGGCAAATTTTGTTTCCTTCGTATTAAACTATTATTGATTCCTGGGCAACAGCAACAGCAACAACAACAACAGACAACAATCAGCATAAATAGGAGGAACCTGAAAGAAACTACCTCTTTTACCTACATGGGAAGCATCGTTTCAACTACAGACAGACGGAACTGACGAGGATACCAAAGCAAGAATCGGAAAAGCAAGACAAGCTTTCACTACTCTCAAGTCTGTGTGGAGGTCAACAGCACTCAGCGTCAAAAATAAGATCCGGATTTTCAACTCCAATGTGAAGTCAGTGCTACTATACGGATCAGAGACTTGCTGGCGTCATAAAGTACCTCAAACAAACTACAGAACTTCATTAACAGTTGTCTTCGCTCAATACTCAAGATCAGATGGCCAGAAAAGATCAGCAACAGGGATCTCTGGGAGCGAACCAACCCAGCAGGAACCGATTGTGAAACAAATAGGCAGGAAGAAATGGAGATGGATTGGCTGGCCATACTCTGAGGAAACCATCAAGTGACATCACTAGACAAGCCATTGCTCGAGTGGAACCCGACTGAATGGGAAGCGGTGAGTTGGTCGTCAGTGCAAGGGTGACTTGGAGGAGATCATGTGAAAAGGAGATGAAAGCATGTGGGCAGATTTGGAGCCAGGTGAAGACACTAGCAGAGAATCGAACGCAATGGAGACGCACGGCTGAAGCCCTATGTTCCTCTAGGAATTAAAGGAATCAATAATAATAATAATCCTAATTAACAACTAAAAAGCATGTTTACTTAAAGATTATCATGTGTGCGTGTGTGACACAGTAATGATGTCAAAGGTTGTATGATCAAGCTAGCAATCATCTACTCTATGAGTGGATGCAGCATTTTGATGCTAGTCGAATGGAATTTTTGCAGACCATGAGTATATTACAACGTCAAAATGGTGGCTGTACATTGTGACATTCCGGAACTGCTTGACTGAATGGTGTGATGATAACCGATATACGTGATTTCACTAGTTTATATGTCATTTCTTACTGTTGATGCCCACTTCTATCCAGTTTTCCCTCATTTTCAATAGTTTTTCAGTGAAAATTACTTAATGGTTGAAACTGTCTTGAAAGCAGTCAATTTCTTACAAATAATATATATATATATATCATCATCATCGGTTAAAGAACGATTGGAAGCCCTGGGAGTACTGGGAGTACAGCCATTTTGATCCTAGTTTGGGACTCTTCATCAGTACGCAACCACTGGGGTTCGAACCCAGGACCTTCACGCTACTAGGCGAGCTGGTAGACCGTTAAGCCAACGGGATCCGATCTGATGGCTCATGAATTCCAGTGGTTCTCTAACTAACTTATGTCAGCTCATGATGAAATCCTGTAAACCAACAGTTGAATAACAATAGTAGTTATCAGTAATTATCGCCTTTATGTACGTACGCTTTTGCTTGATAAAATAATTGGTCATATATTAATAGAAAGGTGACATTTAGAATACTAATCAAGGGGAATCCACCATATAGTTTATACAGGGGTTACCTGCCGTTATAACACACTTGCATTCATCTTCCATGTTTAATCTGTAAGTAGGGGAATTATAAACACTTGAAACTGGCTTCTTTTTCAAAAAATATGTTTTAGAATTATTCAGTCTAATTAATTAATGGATCGGTAAAATTGGTGAAATAGATTAGACGACCTTGTAGACTTTTATTAGAAAAAACTACTCAAAGATGATGAAATGCGTCCGTATTACAACGTTAAGAGTTTGTCACACCCCGTCTTATACTAAATCATACTGCTCAGGACTAGAAGTATTAGTTAGTATTATTAGTAGTAATATTATATCCCTCTTAACTTATTGACTAAATGCGCGTACCATGCCTTTTACTCCTTTTATTAGCCTTGTTTGTTAGATTATTTTCTTGTTAATGCCCAACTAACTATAAAGGTGAAGGTTATCAGTTCTCGTGACCAGCCTAATCCAACAACTATGTGATGACAATGCTTCATGTCATGTGATCCACAACGGAAAACCCAACCAAGCCATTAAAGTGAAGATGACAGTAAGACAAGGCTGACTACTATCATCGATGATATTCCTAATTGTGACGGATTGGATCATGCAACAGACTGTGGGGGGGGGGCGAAAAGACAGGACCAATAAGAAGAGTGTAACAATTCTGGATTTCGCAGTTGGTTTACGTCTAATATATCGCATAAATTCGATGACTTATAGGCGAAAACCATCAAGTTGGTAGAAGAGGTAGGTAGCAAAGAGAAGACTTCAAGTTAACATAGAGAAGATAGAGGTTATGAAGATAACCACCACCACTACCAACAACAACAACAACAGCAACGACAACCAATCCCTACCAATGGAAGAAATTTGAAAGAGGCCACTTCCTCCACTTATCTAGCCAGAATCGCTTCAACTACAGGTAGACGGCACGGATGAGGATGTCAAAGGTAACATAGAATAAGCATGACAGACAATCGTCACTCTGAAATCAAACTGGAAATTCGCTACAATCCACAACATACACAACAAAATTCACATTTTTAACATCAATGTTAAGTCACATCTTCTATATAGGTCAGAAACATGACGTGCAAATTACCAAAAAGCATTTCCAGCATGTGGCTGCAGTAGACTTTTATCAACAACTGCCGCTTTCACTGGCTTCATGCTGAAGATCAGATGGCGAGCCAAAAAGAGTTTGCAACAAGAAACTCTGCCAAACAACCAATTAAGAAACGTTTGCCCAACAGATATATGGAAGGAAATCGAGATAGATCGAACACACGCTGAGGAGACCGTTGGATGATATCGCGCTCAGGACTATCGCTTGACTGGAATCTGAATGGGAAACAACCACTTTAGTGTATGGCCGAGAGTGAAATGGAGGAGATTGTGTGAGGTAAAGATGAGAGCCCAATGGACAATCGTAGGACTAGCTGAAGAGAACAGAGTGGAATGTAGTTGTGCTGTTGAAGATGTTTGCTCCAGATGGAACCCTTCAGGAATAATAACATTCTGGAGAATGCTGTTTTTTAACTTTATACTTACACACACACACACACAAATTTAAACCACTTCTCTGTTATTCCCCAATGATCTAGCATTCTTCTCATATTGAAATCTTCAAAGTTCGTCCTCCAGCAACACACTGTATACTGTCATACTATCAGTAAGATATCCGAGTCCATAGGGCATAGTATGTCCCTACCTCTCTTTTGCACTCTGTCTTATGAGTAGAACAAATTCAGGACATTATACAGTCATTGAATAAGTGATACAGAAAAATGGAGAGAGAGAGAGATTTGCTATAAGGAATAATTGTACTTCTCATATCGATTTATTCGTAGTAGTCTCAATGCCGTACCTATAGTACATATATATATATATACATCGTAGCAATATAACTGACATATATATACTTACATTTACCAATCAGCTTCCGAAGAGAGAATTTTTTCTTCTCTTTCATTTTCTAAAAAAAAAGTATAATAAAATAAATAAATAAATAAACACATACAATGAGGAATGTATAAATTTTCAAACGAAAAACAATCAATAAGAAGAACATAGTAAAATAGCATTTTTAAAATAAAAAGTATTAGAGGTTGTTGTTGTTGTCCTACCTCAACTTATTTTTTTATAACCAGGCTACATTGAGAAACTGTGGTGAGGATGGGGGGAGCAGGAAGGCAAGGAGAGTGAGAACGAAAGGGAGATTGGGAGAAATCAAAAGCTATGTAGGTAAACAAACACACAACATACTACGCCACATCCCATCCCATCGCATCGCATCACGAGGATAGGAACTTTTATCGGTCCACTCTATGCAATTTTTGTTTTATAGTCGTTTGAGAAAAGTTTTATTGATATGGCTAACAATGATAAACACAATAGTAGTAGCATTAGTAGTAGTAGTAGTAGTAATTTATGCAAGAGCATATTAAAGCTTTTCGAAAAACTTGCCTACATGCAGAAGCATATCAATATTTGTTTACAGAGTACACTTGGTTAAATGATATTAGCCAGGCTTAATTATTTACAGAAGTGTGTAAGTTTATCACCCTTTTTTAACTAACCGTACTAAAAAACTTAGCTAATCTCTTCTCTTTAAAAAATAATAAGAATAAGAATAAAAGACTATTAACTTTATTATTATTATTATTCTATGGTAGTTTATTTTCAATTCATGGGGGGAATTTGTTGTGGAGGTGATTATTTTGTTTTTAAAAATTACAAAAACGCGAGTTAGTTATACAAGGAGTTCTAGGGATTTCACGTCAAAAGACGATTAGGGCATAGATGTTATTTTTTTGTTGTTGGCTAATTGGCCTTACAATTAATCACATGAATTCAGCCAAGATCTAGAATAACGTTTGTTTTCTTCTTAAGCGTAAATAATATCACATGGTAATATACACATGTAATTAGAAGTATGCATTTATTCGTAATATTAATGTGTAGTAGATATTTAATGGAGAAGATTTGTAGCTCAGGTGGACGATGTAGTTGTGTGTAGTTGTGGTCTCTGAGCTAGATGGCGGCTTACTTGCAAAGCTTTCGTTGTCTTACTGGGCAACATCCACAGCGCAAACTTCAATTTGTTGAAGTGAGCTTTGCAAATTTCTCCACGAGTTTACAAGTCACCTCTTCTGGTAACCTTGATTGTGATTGGTTGTTTTTGTGGGTTTTGTGTTTTTGTTTTAGGAAGACGTCCATAAGATATTATTTTAACTTTCCTGAAGGTAGGAGTGTAAAAAAAATGGATATCTACGACACTTCATTAAAAGATATCTGCCCTTAACCCAGATAACTAGATCAGAGGTCCCCAAGGAAAACACAAAGAAAATCATCTTACCAACAAATAAAGAACGTCTCAGAAACCACTACAAGGTTTTTCAAACCTTTAGGAATTGATGTCGCACACAAACCAACAAAATCACTTCACTCGGCTGGCTCTATTTTAACCAAAAGACTCAACAGCGAAAGAAGATAAAACCAACATTATCTTCTATAGTTTGGTTTGTAAGGATTAGTTATGTTTTACGAGTTGATCACGGACTGATATCAGTTAGAGAACCATTGAAAATCACGAATTGGTAGAAGTTAGAATTCATGAGCCATTGAATCGGGTCCCAGTGGCTAAATGGTATACGAGCTTGTCTTGTAGCCGGAAGGTCCTGGGTTCGAATCCCAGTGGGTGCGTACTGCCGATGATTCCCAAACTAGGATGAAACAGCAGCTGTCCAGTACTCCCTGGTTTTCAATGGTTCTCTAACTGATATCAGTCCGTGATCAACTCGTACAACATTATCTACAAAATCCCAACTACACTGACTAAAGTGGACGCCCTCTCAGTCTTCGCATCCATAAACATAAACTGACACGATATCCACTCCCTCATATCACTACATACAGAAAACCACAAATGCCAGTTTGATTGGGGCAACGTTCAAATATTGGGCGGAGGAAAAGCCGAAAATGCCAAAGAATTTGTAGAAGCCTGGTAGTGAAGTGAATCCACAGGCCATGAACATATTGACATAGACAAGATTTACCACACCATAAGAAGGAAATCATATCAATAAAAAGTTAAAAAATTCAGGTGAAAGAAACAATCACTACTAATGCAAGTAGACCAGAGGGTGAGAAAACACACGAAAAAACTCAGTCACGTTCTAAGTTACCAGGAGAGATGACAAATAAACTCCTGGTGAAATTTACAAACTCACTTCAACAAATTGAAGTGTGCGCTGAGGATGTTGCCCGGTAAGACAATGAAAACTTCGCAAGTAAGCCATCTAGCCCAGACAACACAACTACATAAAAAAAAGTAATATTAATATATCATTACCTAGAGGCAAAAAAATGTCAATATTTAATTTCACTGTAGTTATCGTCACAGAAGAACATCAGTTAATGGAAACGCTGGAAAGCACTAGATAGCTATTCCGCCCTACTTTGCGACTCTTTAGTGGAGGTTGAACCCAATACCTTCAGATTAAATAGTGACCGCCATCTCGTTAGAACTTTACAATATCCATCCTTATTGCCATTAGTGAATAGGCGCTTGATATGCAAATGTCGACTTCAAAATGGAATTCGCAGCTGGGGAGGGGGAGTGAATCATAGATGGTTGTACCGGTTGGCGGTGGTGCTATATGCCGAAGTGACAAAGGTGAGAAGATTTCATCTCGCTTCCTAAATTGTCGGTGGGCTTAAATATCAGTTAAATTATTAACATGTCTACTTAGAATATTTGAAAGTCCACATTATTTCTTTCTGTTAACAAAACTTGAATAATGCGAGGAGGACAGTCAGTGGAGTAGAATAATTACAAGTTATTATAAGATATTGCATCTCTGTAATGTTTATTGAATCTCCAACCAGAAGGAGGTTAACAATAATGAACGCGTGATAATTTCCTAGTAGATTTTCTCTGATTCAAACTGGCGATTTCAAGAAGATAAATAAGAATAAAACTTGTGCACTATGGTAAAGTACAATTCCATCATCAGTATATATTACTGTATAACACTGCGAGACTTTATCAAAATAAATTTTACCCATAATGTAATTTCAAGAAGACTCAAATATTAATACTGGAAATGTGTATTAACATACAATCGAGTGAGAGATAGTGTAAATAGAAATTTATAATTAGTCATACAAAAAAGTATCATGGAATAATTGTATGCTGCGAAATTGGGCCGATTAGTTAGCGGCAGTCAACCCGGTGGAATCTGATTGGTTGGTTATCTGATTAACGTGTAGAAAAATCAATATCTGTATAACTCCATTATAGATAAGATTTTATTTTGATAAATCACACAGTTATTTTACAGTAATATTAATTGATGACGTTTCGAGCACAAATTATTGCTGCTCGTAATCATATCTAATCACTCTCACACACAACTTCTTACTTCATTTATATACATGAGACTGATCCTTGCTATCATTAACATATTGTCATCACCATTCCTATTAAATTACAATTTATTTTCACATTCATATACTATCGGCATTACTATTACTGTAAATATCACAAGGTCCTTTAATTATCACACCCCCCCCCCGGCATCTTTTCTGTATAGTGCGAAGAGAATATTAGATGACATATATTGTACTAAATGATGCGAATTACACACTGTATTAAAAACATCGTTTTGAATAAAGCTGTTATTACAAGCGAAAAATGCACAAAACTGGTGTAACAGCCCTCTCCCCCACACCATTCCTTCAATCAATTATATATATATATATATATATATATCAGGGTCACTCTGTCATCAGTCAGCTGACAAACGGCTTTCTGAAATTTTTTCAGCCTGTAAAACAGACGACTGTGCCAGTAATCTCTCTTTCAGGGGTTACGTATTTAATCGTCATTTAACACGTAGTACCATGAATTTAAAGGTTACTAGCTTGTAATTAAACTGGTCAATAAATCAATATATTATGGTACTGAAAAATTCTGTATTCAAATCATAAAAACAATTAGTTGAAAAACAAGGACTCATAACAACAATACAGAATAATAAAATGATATTAAAATTTTTTGGATTCGTCCTCTGTTTATTAGATGAGTTTTAATTTTCATATATATATATATATATATATATATATAAATTTTATTTGATCTGATTACGAACTGCATATGAATAGATATTTTTTATTCCTTCACGTTCCCAATGGAACATAGGGCTTCAAGCTAGTGACTTGAAGTTTCAGTAGCAGTGTCTACTTTTACAGGATGGGGTTGCTAGCATCATGCCCAACCTTTCCTCTTCACTAGCTTTTAGTTCTGGCTTAGCGAGGTAAAGGAGTGCGTCGGCCGGGGATCGAACCCAGGACCATGCGCATGGTCGGCGAGCGTCCTAACCGCTATGCCACCGACGCACGAATAGATGATAGTGTAATAAATAACAAGGGGGAAATGGGGTAAAAGGTTATATACAAGTGTGTGTGTGTGTGTACGTTTGTAACTGAATAATGGGGGATAAATTAAGAAAATGAGAGAGGTTATTTATTCATTTCTCGTTGACTGACTGGACCAAAATGTTCGGCCTTTGTTAAGATACCCGCGCCTAGTACGGACGCTTCGAGGATGTCCCCGAGTATTAACATGACGTGATTTTGGTGGATAATGAATGACCAGCAGTGAACTCCAGGATACGACGCATTTAGTCCTAGTGGACACCGTTTAGGCGTTTGAAACGGTGACTACTACTACAGTGGGAACGCCATCACTCACTGGGGAATATATAGGCGTACACATCTGAAAAAAGCCCTAACCAAGATGAAATGTGCATCCTTGTGGATTCCACTGCTAATCACCATCAACCAAGATAAAATGTCTTTTTTTGCACTTATGTAATAATAATAAATAAGGGATAGAAGCAGTTTACACCATACAGGTCAGAAGGTTGTACCTAAAAGGTGTGAAATAATACAGTATTTACGAATTCAAAG